AGGGTCTCCTCCTGGGAACAAGTGCGAGCAGCACTTAAGGTTATGGAGTAATTCATTCCCTTGACAACCTTAACCTTTTGCTTGACAAGTGCGTCATTGCCCAACCGGACAGCGAAGTTTCCCTCCGGGACGACGAGCACCATGTCACCCTGCTTTTGACCAGACTTGATGTACTCAACAAAGCCTGAGATTTCCCAGTTTGGTATGGCATTGCGGTTCATCACTTTTGTGCCTTTTAGTTCTGATGGCTTTGGACCTTTCTCAAAGTTGCCATTAGGCAGCAAACCTTAATTTGCAATCAAATAATTAGAAGACATTAGTAATCGATATTCTAATCGTTAAATATGATCAACACGATTTAGGACGCAAATATTAATCAAATAAATGGTCAAGTAAGTTTGTAAGAATTTTTTATAGAAACAATGTCAACGTAAATTTCACATTACACTTATAAAGCATATCCAACATGTGAGGTAAGTGATTTTGGTTTCTTTTAAAGAAGAAAATCAAAGAAATACTAGTTGATGCTGGAATCACATGTTCTGCATAGGCAGAGCATGTGAGCAAAGTATGGATCATGATTTGAGCACTTTTAGATGTATCTTGACCCACAAACATGCCACATGTTTACAACTTGATAAGATTTCTAAGTTTAGGTAGCTGATAAAATTACATTGTAACATATTTTTGTGGGGTCTATTCAGATTCATTCACCTCCTAGGCTGTAGGCTTCATTTATATAAAGCTGGCCACATCATTCATCGAGACAAATCTTGATACAAGAGTTATCCATAATTCATGTAATGCAGTTAGTAAAATAGATGTTTTTTTTTTTTGTCAAAGTGTAGGGTTTGAATTTTTCTTCTCTAGTGTGTAAAAGAAGTATCAATAACCCAATTTCTCACGGTGTCTATAATTGAGATTCTCCTACAAAAAGAATATAAAATAAATTTTTGGTCACCCTAATTAACTATAAATTAGCATGTACTACTATATTTTATTGTTAAAAATATAATTGAGAATAGAATTTTTTTTAAATTTAAATTATAAAATCATCAGATTAGACAATCACAACTCTTAAATATGATTATCAGCCATATCAATGACTGTGATAAGAATGAAATCATTTTTTAGTGCGAATTGAAACCCTGGTCAAAAGAGAAACTTAATACTTTAAACAACCTATCATTCACCATAACTTATTTACTTACGTGTTAGTATTCGTTATGGAAAATGTGTTTCCTTGAATTTGCGTTGTGCGTACTGCAAGACACTAGTTTCAAGGCAAAATAGTAAAAAAAGTGTTTTCTAAATTTGTTTCGTGCAAATTGCAAAACACTAGTTTTAGGGCAAAGCAACAGTCAGCTCCTGTATTCCATGCTTGATTGATTTTGCATTGAAAAAACAACCTCAAACTTGGCATTATCAATTGACCAATTCTAACCATTCACGTAGTGTTAATTTAATAGCTCCTGTTTCTAAAATAATATTTTTTTATTTTTTCTTTTTTTATATGAATTTTTTCATGTATTAAAATTTAAGAATGGTTTATGATTTATTTATATTATTTTTAAGAAAAAAAATATTAAATAAAAAAGTTTAGCGATAAATTAAACAATTAATGCTATTATGGTATAATAATAGAGTTAAATTGCCAACAACTTAAATAATTTAGTGATTATCTTCTTCCGTTAAAAGTAAACAGTTTTGAGTTCAAGTCGTATAACATGTAGGTGAAATGTGATAAAAAATAGGACATAGTTGCTTCCCAGTGTTAAACCAAAATCAATAATAATAATAATAATAGAGTTAAATTTAAAAAAAAAACATTTATTTAAATAAAAAAATAACAACTAATTTATAACAAATTAAAAACAAATGATGCTGGGTCAATTTCAATGCTAGTTGCATACCTAATTCGGGATGGAGGGAGTAAAATAAAGTCAAGGAATGCCAATGAGGGATGGCACAATGGAGACTAGCAGGACTGAGGATTCTTTATCTATCCTCGTCCACGCAAATGGTGAAGACGAGAATTTTTTATGAGGGCAGATTTTGCCCCCTATTCATGTTCCTCACAGGAAATGGACATCTTCGCGGGGATCTCCATTTATTGTTAATTTATATTAAAATATAAAATTTTTACATATAATTAATAATATTCAATTAGAATGAAACAAAACTGTAAAAATTTAAATACAATTAACTAAAATTACCTAAAAATAAAATCAAATATAAATTATCTAAATATAAATAAAAATCAATTCAACGTAAATAACTAAACTAAAAGATTTGCTCCAAACATAAATAAAGATTAATTCAACATGAATAGCCAAACCAATATAATTGAGTTAAGTTTAATTTTTATTGGATTGGATTTGGATTTAAATTGTATATTATGTATTATTATAACAGGTCGAATTAAATTTAAAATAAAATTAATTTATATATTCTTTTAATTTTTTGCAAGGATGAAAATCCCTGCAGGTTTTATGGGACTGGGAAATTTTCCCGTGTAATTTCAAGAAGGAAAAATGTCCCTTCTCCCCACCCCGTAAAAAGATATATTCTTCCTTGTTCTACCTTTATGGCAGGGATCCCCCCAGGATCGAGTCAAACTACCACTCCTAATAAAGTCCTAACAAACATGCACTTACCTTCAACATTCTCCTGTTATAAACATGCACGTTATTTATATTAGCAGTCCTTTGGAGGAATACAAGTCCTTCCAAAACCGATCTGGTTTTCACATGGGTTGATGGCTCAAGGCTGTGCATGATGAGATGCTCACAGATCTACCTACTTCAAAATTGATTCGCCCTTGTTCCTTTCAAGAATTAATTACCATAAAATTTTTAAGAGAACCCAAAAATCCCAATGGCAGTAGATGCATTTAATGTTTCAGAATTCAACACTAAGCTCATTTTCACGGCTTTAAATTTGAAGTTGAGCAGAATCTGAATTTATTGTTCTGGGATCTAAGAAGAAGCAGAAGATGACTCTCTATGTCCTTCCTATACAAAAATAATTATTGAATGAGTCCTTATTTTATAGTTAGAATATGTTAAATTACAAAATAGAGATCATTGAAATAGAGAAGGGACTTCAAAATTAAGTAATACACTTTTCATTCAATTATAAGTATTATGTAATTTAATACAATTTAAAATGCAAATACTTTTTTCTTATTGAATTGGGAGACTTTCTAAATGTTGGCTAATTTTAATGATTTCTTTTTTGCAATCTACAAAAAAGACTCATTTTTATCTTGAATTGATGGTTTACTGAACAATTCTAATATTCAAATATTAATTCAAACTCCTAATTTTAGTCTAAAATAAAAAATTTAAAGTTATATTAAACAAATAAACTCAACTAAAACGCCTTAAAAAAAAGGGGAAAAAACTCATCTAAAACTCTTGTGGGCGTGGGTGATGATTTATGCATTCCATGGATACAGTGAACCAATAACTTTGATATGACAACAAATAAGAAGAAAAACATGCATATAGAGTCAATCGATGGAATAAGGTTGAATTTGAATGGTCTTCTAGAGAGCTTACCATCTTCAACGGAGGAGGCTAGATGAGAAGTGGCACAAAGTAGCAGCAGCAGCACAGCGACCCTCTGCATTGTCAAGGGGGATTCAGAGAGAGCTGATCCGAAGGGGAGACCAAAAAATGTTTTGGTTTGAGCGGAAATCAAAAGGAAGAGTCTTGGGGCATTTATTGGTTTAAGACTGTGTGAAAGCCACTAATTTTTGATAAAATCACATAAATGCCACTGGGATATCAAATCATGCCGCTATGTGCAGTAATTAGATTTTGGATACAGCGTGCTAAAAGTGATTGG